CAAACTTTTGTATTAATGTTTAAATAATTGTAAGAAAGAAAAAATGTTAATTTTACTCTTTTAATGTTACTGGCAGGACTCAGGATTTCGATACCCGCACGATCGTGCGGGTTGGGCGTTACTTGAGTCACTGCAGCTGTAAAGGTAAATACTTATCATGCGAATATTCATTTCTGTTTCAACAATTTTGATGAAAGCCTACTTAAAAATGAAATATATAGTTATATAATTAATACCAAATTTTCTTGGGGTTTCCATGGATGAGTTCTTTTTTTTTTCTTTCTCTTTTTTTTTTCTTGCAATTAATTTTCTTTTTCATACATTTGTTGAGAAGTATGGCATTTTATCCTCATTACAGATATCTGCATCCATCTCTTCTCCCCAGAAAAAGATTCTTGGTTTTCCGGTGGGAGTTTGTATGTGTGGTTTAAATATATTTTATTATTTTTTTTTAAATAATAAAGTTTTCTGATACATTTTACTATTTTTCATGGAATACTGTGCTAACTTTTAACCCAAAATCTTTTCAAGTGTCTAAAAATAAAACTCTCACAGAAGAAGAAATTTTGCAATTAATGAATAAATCAGATTGAACTTAGATCAGAGCTTAGTGATCTCTCGGATGATGACAATGCTGCGAAAAAAACATATGAATCGCGTATACTGGAAGTATAATCAATTTCAGGTGAGAGCGATGAAGAAAAACATGGGAATATGTGAAATGGAAAGACACAATTTTGGATGATTCATTACCATAAATGTCTCTAAAACACATTCATTACATTGATTTAATTGTTGCAAATTATTGGTTTCTATGCAAAGAAGATGCAATATTAAATAAAATTCCTCTAAAAAACAAAATGGATCGCTTAAAATTTAAGTTAGAGAGAGTTTAAGTGCGTTATCAGCCTCTCTACCTACTAACAAAAGTATTTTAACTGATAATGAAGATAACAGCGTTGTAATTCCAATCGCAAAAAGATCGAAGCGTTATAATCCACCTGCTATACATGGCATGGCTTTTATCCTGGCCATTCCAGGATAAAAGACTTGGCATGTATAGCCATTTTCGATGTGTTGATGACATTTCAAGGCCTCGCACACACAAGTGCAGATTTGAAAACTACGAAAGTAGCTCAAAAACATGTGAAAAATGGAAAGGTTATTAATACTTGTCAAAAGCAAAACAAAAGATATTTGCAGTAAATAAATAATGAATTAATAAAAGAGTTAATTATATATGCATCAATAATTTCCATATTTCTAACAATTTTAGATGAATTAAGATTGTTTAGAGCTAAAAATGTATAATTCGTAAAATTTCATAGGTGACCTGTTTCACAGATAACGCCCAACCCGCACGATCGTGCAGGTACCATCTACGTTCCAGGGGGAGAGCAGGAATTTTTTTATTATTTTTCCTAGCGTCATTGGGGTTCATATAGTATTAATAACCAGAAGAATTTAATATTTAAAGATAAAAATAATTAGGGTCTTAAAGTGCTATTCGTAATATGAAATATCGCGTTGTTATTCTTGTGTAATGCTATAAGAGATGAAAGATATTCCTATAAACTAACTTAAGCAGCATTCTTTTTTTTCAGAGACAGCCGAAATTCTTGTTATTTCTCCATTTTGTGTTATTTGTATATAGAAAACAATCATTCTATTTATGATTTCTTCTACTGTTCTTGTTACTTGTAACAGCTATCTAAGAAAAGAATTATATAATTATTTGAGTTAAAAAACTTTATAAATTGCTTTAATATCTGATTATATAATGGATGCTACTTAAGTATGACATTGTTTTGAACCAAAATATTAATATAATAATACTAAACAATGTTAAGTAATTAATTTCTCATAATATTAAAAATAATTTTGTTAGATCATAGACACGATTTAAGTGAAGAAAAATTATTTTTTTTTAAAAAAAATTCAAACGTGATTAAATTAAATAAAAATTATTTCCGTATGAAAATGCAAATTCGGCGAATAACGCTAAATTATGCAATAAATTATAATAGGTAATATACTTGTTTGATGATTAAAGGACAACAGTAAAAAAATATATTCTCTTATTTCATTAAATTTTTAAAATGTTAGGTTGAAAATTTATTGAGCTTGGGAAATTAACAAATTTTCTTCAATGAAAAATAAATTTATTTTGCTTAGCAAGTTATGTGATTTCTTTTGAAACTTTAATGGGTAATTATAACAGATAATTCATAATAATTAAGTACATTCAAACATTTGCTTTTATTTAAAAAATTTAGTAAATTGAAATTTAATTTTAAAGCACTTATTTTAATTGCAATATATAGATTAGATATAATCATCCAAGTTTATTTACTTTGTAATATATCTCTATTTGATATTATCTATTCTTAACTTTGATCTTTATCGTTTTAAAACTTCCTTTATTTAGTTTATTTTTATAAAAGAATTTTTTAGTGGTTTGTTTAATTGCAAAGTAAATATCCAGGTGGCGCCACGATTATTTATTCTCGAATAGTCGTCTCAATAGCTTTCGTCATTTTACGCCATTTCGCGTTGGGAATTTATAGTGGAAGGTTGAATTTTCAATCTCCAGTATTTATTTTACATGTAAGTGGGTTTATTTATTTATTTTTTATTATTATTATTATTCCTCTCTTTGAGACATTCATTACTGTTCTCTTTTCTGAGTTTCATTTTATTATATTAGCAATTTTTCTTCCCAATGTTGTATTAGGCTTAACTTTTCAACTTGGTTTTTTTCCTATTATGTCGAAAATTTCTGCTGTACGGGGAAGGTGGATCCATAAAGCATTGCTAACTCTAATTCGCTGGCCTAATTCAGCGACAGCTTTAGAAATCATAATAGGTCTCCTGTTTAGTCCAAAGACTTTTTTTGTACTCATTTGTTGTGTCTGGTGAATTCCAATTTCTTCCTGCTTTAGCACTGTAGGTTCTAGTACTTCTATTTTATATTAATATATATATATATATATATTATTCAAATTTTCAATCCTTAACTTAATACTTCCTATCCATCCATTCAAGTTCAAATACATTTTTTTAAACTTGTAGTGGATAACACTTGATGTTAATACAGTTTTTTAAATATTAATTTATAAATTAAATTTAAAAATTAATAAATAGCAAAAAACAAAAACAATAGTGCAACAGAATGTATAGAAAGAAAAATCGTTCGTTGTGTCTCTGTAACGCAATGAATAGCTCATTGGAACTTCTAATCCAAAAACTTTTTATAATTTCTGAAAATGTGATTTCTTTTTTACTTTATTATTTTATTAGAATAATTAAATTTAATTAATGAATAAATAGTAACAAACAAGCAAAAAACAGCCCAACACGATATATAGAAAGAAAAATGGAAAATTGCTTTCTTTTTTGTCACTTAATATTGTAATTCTGCAACATGTATATACACATTTATATTAATTATAACTATTTCATAAAAAATAACTAAAATAATATTTTTCTTTGTTGACCTAAGTAGGAGTTGACTTAATTGTTTTTAAATATTACTTGTTATTAGTTTATTTTAAGTACTTTTCAATAGAAAAATCAAGTGAAATAACTAAATTCCCAATTTTTTTTGCATTTTAAATTCATTTCTGAAACAATTACCTAATTCTGAAAATAATTACCATCATTTATTATATAACTTTTTACCTAGAATGTCTTCAGAAGCAAGCAAATATGATAAAGCTTTACAAAGTTTCTAGTATCTCCTTTTAATAAAGCATCGTTAATTTCAAACTTAGCCCTTTAAGCTGAAAAATAAATAAAAGATTTTTGTAAGGAAATATTAGAAGAGATCAAATTAAACGCTTGTATCAAGAAATTTTAATTATTCCATCCCATTATTCGCTTAAACGTATTAAATTTGTTTCTTACTCAGATAAAGAATAGAGTTCATGATTTTCTGATTTTTTTTCCTTCCTAGGAATTTCCGAAAAATCCCGGGAACGTGAAATTCATTACCGGGAATGCATCAGCATCAAAATTTCGAAGAATCTAAAAACAAATTATTTTGGATCGGTAGGAATAATTACACAAAATGAGGATAAACATTGATTCCAAAAACTTTTCTCATTTTTATATTGAGTTAAAAATACGCTACTAAAATATTTTAGTTATTCATTTTAAAAGAATGATTTAAGAAAACCTAAGCAATTTATGATTTCATCACTCAGTCTAGTTATTAACTTTGTTATGAACAACCTGGCAGCACAAAATGCTCTCTCAGATTCAGCTGATAATAAAGGATTTCTTTTTCGTATTCTTACACAGATTTATGATATTTTATGATCGAGCTAAAACTTTTTATTTTAAGGTAGAAATCTTTCCTAGTTGAAAAAAATAAAACCTTTGCTTTTCACAGCGGATCGTTTTGTTTTTTTTTGAAGTTGTACTTCTTTTGGGGCATTAGAGAAATAGGATGAGGGTAATTTTTTACAATGCGCGCGCACACCGTCACGGATGCGAAAATTCTTTGTCTAGAAATATACAGAACGGAACAAATCCTTCCCGCCTTCGAAATTCTCAGAAAAATATCTCTCTTCACTTCCCTGAAGAAGGGGTCACCCGGGTTTGAACCGGAGACCTCTCGATCTGCAGCCGAATGCCCTACTTCTGAGATATACACCACGTGTCAGAGAGCCTTTGCTTTCCGTTCCGTAGGAACGGATACTAAAATGCTTTGTCTAGAAATATCCAGAACGGGACAAATCCTTCCCACCTTCAAAATCCTCAAGCAAATTTTTCTCTTCACTTCCCTGAAGAAGATGACTCCAGGGTTTTTTTCTGGGGACCACTCGATCTGCAGTTGAATGCTCTACCGCTGAGCTATACACCACGTGTCAGAGAGTCTGCTTTCCGTTCCGTAGGAACGGATACCAAAATGCTTTGTCTAGAAATATCCAGAACGGGACAAATCCTTCACACCTTCAAAATCCTCAAGCAAATTTTTCTCTTCACTTCCCTGAAGAAGAAGACACCTGCGTTTCTTTCCGGGGACCACTCGATCTGCAGTTGAATGCTCTACCACTGAGCTATACCACCGCGTCAGCGAACCTTTGCTTTGTGTTCCGTAGGAACGGATGCGAAAATACTTTTTCTAGAAATATGCAGAACGGAACAGATCATTAACGCCTTCGACCCCCTCAACATATTATTGGCCCTATTGTCCCTGTGCGGGGGTGTTTAAATTTATTTAAATCGTGATTACCTCAGGTTTGGCTCGACCGATTGACTGAAGGTTAGTATCATTCAACTCTACTGGTAGCCGCCTTTCGTCCTTTGCCCAGCTTGCCCTACAAAAGATTTTTAGAAAGATTTTAATCTTGTTACGCCAAAGAAGTATAACTTCTTACGTGCATACATATGTACACACACACTTTTTTTTTTGTCCAACGTTAAAGATTTTTTTCCAGGTTCCTTGCTCTCTTCTGAATGCGAAGATAAGGAGAGTAAATTCGTCGCTTCGCAAAAATGTTTTATCATTACTAATTTAGCTTGTATAATCAAACCGGTTTTTTTTTCTTCTCTTAAAAGAGAAATATTTACAATAACTGCAGAAACTTTGTACTTTCTTTCAAAGTTTAGATATGTCTTTACTCCAACTAAGGTAACCATGCTTCATTCATATTGGCTCTAATGCTACTATACAAGATGCTAGTTTTCGATGTTGCATTTGTAATATATGATTCTATTATTATTATTTTTAAAGGAATATATTTAAATTGACTTAAAGGGTTCTTTCGTACACACACGTACATTGAATAATCTCTTTTTTGAAATTTTTTTACATTATTCTCATTGTTAAAAAAAAGCATTTAAAGCATACCTAATATAAAAATTTCTTTTGTTTTTCAAAATTTATTCTAATTTTGATAAATTTGTATAGGTGAAAAAAAAGTTCAAAGTGTCTATACATAAAATCTCTGTACAAAGAAAATCTCGTAACAAGAAACTGAAATGACTGAAATATCTGTTCGTGTTAAAAAGAATTTCGATATTGCGAGGGGAAAAACATATAATTCAACAAAGTTAAGTCTATTTTATTTTTCATTATGATTAAGTTATTCAATTTTTAACAACTCAATTAAGCAAATAACGTTTTGGAACCAAAAGGCAGTAATAGAAGAGGCAGACCCTGTCTAGAAAATTTAGAAAAATGCTTGCATAACATCGGAGTAAATAGATGGAAAACAATTGCACTAAACCAGCGTTTCTCAAACTGTGGGGCGCTCCCCCCTTGGGGGCATGATAACTCTACAAGGGGGCGTGAGCATATTGAAAAGTCGAAAACAAAAGGTTATTTAAAAAATTAATTTACTGAAAGTAAATTAACAAAATACTTTCTGATATAATAAAATATATAATACACATTTACACTGATATAATACACCTATAAATGTATTACTGTACAATGTATATTTTATTATTAATTTAACAATACTAAGTTAAAGACAAGTTTGATAATTAACAGTGCCCCCCATATGCTTGTATTAACACTTATCTTGATAATTCGTACGGTTTATAATTAATTCCTTAACTACCGATTAAAAGTTTCCCGATTCGCTCCCTAATACCACCATTCACCACGTAGACGAGCGTATTTTGATGGGGGGGGGGGTGAGGGGGCGGGGAGGAGAAATGAAATGAATAAGCAAATCCTCCGAAATAAGTAAATTCTCCGCAAACACTGTCAAAAACCTTTATTGCATTCCAAAGCCCTCGGAATAATTTTATGGATAGCCCTGCACAGATAAAGATCGTACTTCGGAAAGACTTATATACATTCAGAAAATTAATGCTTTGGCTGAGCGAGACATTTATATACGTCGGGGGCGCATAAGAGGTTAAAGTCGTATTGTAGCTTTAGTGTCAAAGTAAAGTATTACTGAATTCACAATACATTGTTATTGTATGGAGGAGGGCGAGATGAAAATGATGATTGAATAGTGGGCCACGTATATTGAAAGTTTAAGAAGCACTGCACTAAACAGAACAAAATGGATTAGACTAAGATAGCCTTGGCCGAAAGTTGGTTTAAAAAAAGAGTTTATTTTAGTTATACATAGATATTTATACATGCTTATATCTAATAAAAATCAATGAAACAAAAACATTCATAAGAACTTAAAGAAATTTAATACAAAATTTTCAAACTTTTTTGAAAAACAAGACATTTATTGAGTTTTTTTGAAAAATAATCTGATAATTTTATCTGCATTGTTTTTTTAGCATCGAATTGTCAGCAAATTGTTCGATATAGTCCCCTTTGTTATTCCTGTCACCCTTGGAATGAGTTTTAATAACTGCGCATATTTTTTAGGACGTTTCTTCTTTCAAATAACGTAGGAATAAGAACTCTATTATTCATTTCATTTTCGTCGTCGGAATCACCATCAATGATATTTTTCGAGCTTTGAACCAACTGCAAAATGTCTTTGTCTGTCACAATTGAGATTGTACGTAGATTATCATCCTCTGCTTCAATGCATTCTTCCGATGATAAAATAGGACACTCCAATCTGGCTTGGTATTTTCTGTATTGTTTTCATTCCCAGAAGGGAAATATTTTCGTGCTAAGCGAGTTTCGTTTCATGTTATGAATAAAAGTACATGAAAATACATAGTAGTTTATCAAGACCGTTATAATATTTCATGTTAACTGATATTTCGTCCAAAGCGTTTTCGTGTTAAACGTATTTCACTGTATTTCTATTAAAAAAAACTCTTGCATGAAGAATGCATAAAATATTGTGACAAATAGTTGCTTTTTAAAGAATAAAGTGAATGTGAAACTCTCTAACAATATTACATTTCCCATTTGATTCCGTGTTCGTATTTCGAACGTTGACATTTGTTGAAACCTGACAAATTGCAATTCGGATCTTAGAAAAGGAATAAAATGCTTCTTATTCTCATACCCTTCAGCAATTCTGTTGAAAACTTCTTTCCTTTTGTATTGAAGGGACAGTTGAAAAAAAAGTGCTTCCGCAACATCCACCATCAAATACAATGTAATCGGCTTTTTTTCTAAAATATTTCAAGAACAAATTTTTTTATCAGATTTATTTTCCTTCATCTGAATGTTATAAGTGATAAAAGGTTTTTTGTTCCAAAAGTGTTTTTTTTTTCAAATTTTCTGTCAGAAATATTAAACATTTATGTTAGCTGAATATCCTGAAGATTTTTCTTTGCTCTGGATTTATTATTTCATTCAAGGAAAAAATACGAATTATTAACATTCGAACGCTAAACTGGTGATATTACAGATTGCTGAGAGGGTACTCTGAAAACCTATAAAGGAAATGAATAGGGTGTGGTGAACACAAAAGTTTATTTATTTTTTTTTTATATAAAAATTGAATTTTAGCAAAGGGGATTTCTTTTCACAGTAAAGGAATACGATGTATAGGGCTAAGTTGTAAATTTTATGTCTCATAACAATATACTAGAGCAGATTTTCTCAAGTCTATCACCCCTCTGTTGCTAGTTCCCTAGTGATGGTCAAGAACTAGTGATCAGCGTTGAAGAGGTGAGGGTTGGCGTCATGATGCTACTACAGAACCGCTATATAAAGGAGCTGAAGCACGTTTAATCAGGCGTAGCTCAAATCCCTCACGTCGATGTTATATGGAAGTTAGGAGAGTGGAGTGCCGGTTCAGGCTCACTTGACCATGGCTTAAAATTACGAGGTAGGTTGGCAATAACTCTGGTATTGATTTAACCCTTTAGCGACAGGTGAGTCATATTTGCACCAGTCTGCAACCCCTTTATCGCTAGGTTGTCCGTTCAATGCAACTTTCCTTGGGGACGATCGCTTCTGTATATCATGTACGAAACACGATTCACCGGGGTACCCCACTGTTGTCTGTGACATTTGGAGTGGATACGTATGCGACACCCCACAATCCTTCTCTAGAAGACGTAACTGCGGTTTGGGGAAAGTTTTCCAAGATCATGTACGGAGGCATTACCGACAAATTGTACGGCAGAACAGGGACTTTACTGTGCTTCAGCCGAAACAAATATTCAAACAAAGCTCTTTCCAACAGATTTCATCTCGAACCATACACAGAGAATTGCAGAGGATAGGAATGCATAGTCGGTGCTTGTGAGAAAACCTCTCATTTCTTCTCGAAATGCAAAAATTCGTTTGCAGTGGTGTCGGGAAAGAAGACACTGGATATCTGAGGATTGGAAACGGATTATGTGATGATGACTCACGCTAGACCTTATTTTGCACTAATGGAAGACATCGAATTTTGTGAAACCCCATGAAACCATGAATCTTTCTTGCCTTACTCGCACTGTGAAATGGTCTGGAGAAAGTATCATGATATAAGGTATTGAAGTGGCCCTTGGTGTTCCTTGAGGGTAAACAAGCAGCTATGTGATACCTACACATAGTTGCAGATCCAATGCACCCTGCAATATTTCATTTTTACCCGTATGGTGACAGATGCGTAATGAACGATATTGCAACTATACATCATGCCAGAAGCGTCCAAAGTTGGTTTGCTTAACATCAGTCAGACTTCCAACACTTTCTCTGGTCATCGGAAAGTGTTGGAATCCATCCAGGATGTTCGAGCTTCCAACATCCTGGCATACCTCGGATGTTAATCCCATAGAAAATGTGTTGGATTTAGAGGAAAGACACATACGACAGAATTCTCCACTTCCATCTAATTTACAAGATCTAAAAAGCTGCATAGACAATGCATGGTATCCTCTAGACATAAATGCACTTCAGAAGTATGTAGACTCAATACCCAAGCGAATCAGAGTACTTATCAAGGTAAACGGTGGTCCAATAAAATATTGATCTTAAGTTTCTAAGTGCATGCCAGTGAGGGAAGAATAAATGCGATGTTGTATTAATTTTTATTTGCAAATATAAAATGGGCACTATTGCTTATACATGACTCATTTCTCACCCGTACATGAATATTGAGACACGTCACGTATGATATATATACATATATATATATATATATATATATATTCTCTGCAGCAATACTCCATTTGTGGGAAAATTGAATTTT